CCCTCTGCCGTGGTCATGCTTGAGCGTTTTTCTGTTTCCCCAGCCTTCACATCGTCCTTTCTTCCTATATAACGCCCCCCTCTGCCAGGGTTATAACGAGGCAAGCGTGTTCTGAGCCAGTTTCGTTTGAATACTGATTTTTTTTTTTTGTGCAAAGTTACTGCCGAAAATGTTCATTGTGACCATTTCCTTCTCCATTCCCCTCCGTGGCAATATGTCCCCTTTGAGCTGCCGAAACAGCAGGTAACGGCTTTACGGTTCCCCTCTTTTCTTCAAATTTACTAGCAGTTTTCCACGTAAGCCGTATTAAATGCTTTTCTGAAATCTAAATAGCCTTTGTTTAAAGAATAAGTTATCAGTGAAATCATATTAGTCATGCATGATCCAGCTTAGGTAAATTTATGTTGCATTTTTCCCATTTTTCAATTACTTCTGTACCCTCAGATCACCTTTCTTTCCAAATTTTGTACATGAGTCTTGCACACCACTGAGATCAGACTAACAGGGTTGTATTTGCCTTGTGCTAGTGAAATGCAAATAAAACTTCTGTAGGCCAGGAGCTTTCTTTTAGCTGTCATTCCAGTGCTCCAGACAGTGGATGGGTAGAATTCCATCCCTCTTTCCTCTGGAGATCCTTTGGCTAAGACATATTTACTCGGACTTTGCGCACATATCTAGAATGTGATTCTTCATAAATTGCCCTTTTCGTGAGCAAATATGAACGATACTCACTTTCATAATATTCAAGGATTCCCTTCAATTCCACACATCCTATGTAAACTCACGTAGGATATGATTCTTCCTTTAAAAGACAGTCCTCTTACTGTTTATTGTCTTTCTGAGCATGCTCTGTGTTGACTTCTTAAAAGCATCCATTTTAAACGACAGATGTGTCTGAATAGTCAAAAGAATACCACTTTTTAGTCAACAGGGAAATGTCTGATAAAAGACAGCCCAGCTACCCTCATATCCTGGATACTTTTACTGGTTTTGTGCTTCCTTCCATCGTTGTGGTTATTAATATGACTGGAAGAGTCTATGAGATCATTTCCTGGCTTCTCTTGTGTAGTTTTGCTCACAATGTGTATAGCAGAGTAGCATAATACGAACGTGTAACCACCAGACTACCGTAACATTCTTCACATAATTCATTTTTTCCTAACTCATACTAAGACTAGAGTGTTGCCTTAAACATGAAATTGTACCCTTACAGTAGCCATTCCCAAGCACAGTATCTGATTTCGACTCCTTCAGTAGAAACCTCAAAACACAGGCAGATACCACCCTAGGAAAGCATGTCTGGCAGTTTGGGTTTCCTGCCCAAAAGCTGCCACAGCTTGTACTAGCTTGTTACATTTGGTACATTTAATTGTATTTGGAAATGTATAACACATGGCAAAATTTCCCATGACGTTTTTGGGGGTTCAGAGTGTTTGCCTTCTTGACCTATTGAAAGTTCTAGGATCATAATGTTCCCAACTGCCTTATTCTTCTTTTTCACGCTTTGATAGTTATGGGCAAGTTTAAGTTTCATGCCTATCTAAGGATAACCCACAGCACATGTTTTCTGTTATGGGTGCTGGATAAAAAAGGCTTTTTGCAACGAGGAAACATGTGCCAGGAAAACCAACTAAGTCTGAGATCAGAATTAGTGACAGTTCTCGTGGAGAGAATCAGAAGAGCTAATCCCTTTCATTAATTTTTCCAAGAAAGATGTCTGTTAAGTTACAAACCTTAAGAAAGCTTGCTGCTCCAGTTCAGCAGCAGTGCATGTGTACGGATATTATCCTGGAGCTTCTTCTCTTCAGATCATTCTTCTCTAACAGCCACCGCTTCTCCTACTCGCTTGCTTTTTCTATCAGCATGTTTACTTGCAAAAAAACAGAATCTCTAAAGGTGCCTGGGTTATCTTAAGTGCCTGTGGTTTATACACATGGGAATACAGGAAATAACTAGGGCCCAGCATCTATTGGACTGAATGTGAATGCTCCCCTAACCGCAAAGGAGTCCTCCATAGCTCAAAACATACAGGCTCATATCAATTTAGTGGTGCAGTAGAAAATAAAAGAGTGCATAGCCTAATCTCAATAAGTATATACTCACTTTTTGGTGACTATATTTTCGGTGACTTATTTCTGAACTCTCCTGTCACTTCTAGACATTGTGTGTAGAAGAGCCCTACACGGCCACAAGCTGGGGAAGTCACAAAATTGTCATTGACTATGTAGTCATTGACTACAATGCAATGACTGGATTTTCCAGAATCCCCATTTTTTTATCGTGTTATCTTTTATAATCATATATTGTATTATTTATTCTGTACACCTGCTTGGTGTTTTAACCAATCAGTAGGGGGAAAAGGTCCTTAGCTCTTGAAGCTTTTAATCATAATTAGCCCTCAATATAATCAACAGACACCAGTTTCAGCTGTAGATTTAAAAAGAGACAATAGAGAACAGGGAAGCTTTGGGGAAAGATTTATTTTAAGTGATACTGGACATTTAGTGCTCCTATCTAATATTTTTCTCCTATCAGCCAGAGGAGCAGATATCAGCATGAAAATTAGTACTAGAGCAACATGCAAAAGAAGCTAATTTAGAGTAAACTCTTTGACTTGCAGAATGATGGAGTTAGAAGAATCAAATCGTGAGAAGCAAAAGGAAAAACAGCATTTCCAGATGTCTTCACCATCCTTTGCCCGAGCCTTGCTAGAGGTAAGAAGTATGTAATTTCTCTCCTTGCAACATACTTCCACACAGACCAGTTATGAAGAAAAACTGTCTTGCCATAGAGGCACAGGATGCAGGACTTCAGAGACCATCCTGTCCATGCCCCTGTTCATCTATGCCATTCCAGAGGGCTGCTTGCCCAACGTCTACCTAGTTGCCTTTCAGTTGTGCAAAATGCCATGCATCAGGGAATCCCAATATAATTATTCATATGTATGGAAGAGACACTTTGATAGATGTTTTTCTGGACTGTCCTGTTTGATTAAAGCTGAACTTACTATGTAGAATCTGGAATAGGCAGTGTAAAAAGGGGACGACGCCTATCTGAGAAGAAAATCCCCTGTGAAAAGTCTGCTTTTGTATGGTTTAGTAGAAAAAATACTCGACTACTTGGCAAGACTGTTAAATCATGGAGTATTGAGATTTTGTTTACCTCTTGCCATAAATTCTCTGAGTTCTCAGAATACGTCATATGGAAGGATAGCTTCCTAAAAAATAGCTTCCTAAGAGCTGAGAAACAGCATTTAGTTTACATACAGGAGTGGGTTATAGCTTTGTCTGAAAAATACAAAGATGGAGCTTGTATCTACACCAATCTAAGTCCAAAAATTCTGCTTACACAGTTCAAAACTTGATATTGGAACCAGCAGTTTTGTCAAACCTCCTCTTAAAAATTGAAGGCATTCTAAATTTTTCTATTATTTTTGAACTGGGTTTTTTATAATGCAAATTTTTTCATGTGGAAAAACCTGTGAGCAACTACCTTGTTTTTCTCCAGATACTCCTACCCTTCTGGATGGGACTAAGTCAACTAACTGAGGAAGAAAGATGGAAATATTGGCAAATGAGATGGTGGTTTTATTGAAATTTTTTGCCCCAAACGCCATTAAAAAAGAATAAAAGTAGGTACTCGCCCTCCACAGAAACATCTGGTCTGATGAAAATGCCACATCTTTTTAAGTGAAAAGAAAAAAAGTTGTCCAGATCTGTATCATCTGATGTGGTGTTTATTATAGAACCTAAAGAACCAACTGGGAACTTCAGGAATCCTGATTTACATGTCCTGTTTATCTGCAATTTCACATAGGAAGAACCGAGTTCCTCAGCCTCTGCTGCCATCACGTGGCCATGTACAGGCCATCATTAAAACCAGAATACATCTATGCAGTTAATGGTTGCACTGTATTTCCATTTCATATACATTATTATGTTTCATTTACCAGAGGTTTTTTTTTATTTTTAATTTATTTCACTATCTATAACACAATCCAATTTCTTCCCCAGTTTTCCCAAAATGGCATAAAAATTATCCATTGGTTTTTTTTCAGTTTCAGCAGATTCAAGTATTTTTTTAATGGCAGATAGTGTGAGCAAGCTGTCATACAACACAGTAAATTCCTTTGGTAGGTTTGTTTTTTTTACTACCCTACCAATATCCTCTATGAAAGCATTAATTACAACCCATATATTAACTAGCAACGTCCACACTGCTGTTTCTCTCTACAGGGGGTTCAATCTGCTAGTTCCCTTCTAGGGGGGAAAATCATCAGGGCAGATAACAGATTATAAGTACAACACTTCATTCTCTGGCTGTAAAACAAAACTAATCCCTTGAAGATCAGATAGAAGGAAGCTTTTCTGTTTCTGGCTTAAAATCTCAAAATGTTGAAAAAAGCATTTTAGGGTAAGGAAGAGTATATGCTTCATCCCACATGGATCCATAGATACAATAGTAAGAGTACTATCAGTTTTCCGGGGAAATACTTTGAAGTAACACATCATTTTGTGTCAGGCTGCCTGTTTTGCAGTGAACAGTAGTGAAACCCATCCTTCCAATGTAAAGATTTCCAAGGTGAGGGGGTGAGGGTGAAGTAGGGTATAGGGAGCACAGCTTAGTGCCCGCTTGTGCGCTGGCCAAGGTATCGGTTTTATGCCAACTGTAGATCTGACCTGCTATAGAAAGAAAAAGACAAATTTTCAAGAAGAAAAATGTTGCTCTAAAGAGAAAATGAAGCGAAACAAGACAGTTTGTAGGAAAGAAAGGGAACTTCTGGGTTTTGCCGAGCTGGACTGGGAATCACGGCATCTTTTCCAAACAGGAGCATTCTGGAATCTTCCCCTTGCCTAAGGATTTAAGTTTTACTAGGCTGAGGTAATTTAAGGGGGGAGAAAATAGCTTAACCTGTAAAGTTAAGCTTGAAGTTTTCAATTTTCAAAGACAAAATAAAACAAAATAAGTAAAAATTCTGTAGAAATCTACAGCACACACACTATAATACAATGCACTTTAATTTCCTGTGTATGCACATCTATACAAAATCTTCTACTTCAGTGTACTTTAAAGAATTTAAAAAAGTATATCTGACCTTCTCAAATGTTTAACTATGTATTGCTGTTTTATTCATATATAATTTTTAAATTAGATGGTGCATTGGAGGGACGGATTCATTTCTTCCTCGTATTAAATTTCCTGATTGTGGGGGTTGTGTCAGTGCTCACTTAAAATTCTCAGTTGTCGTCAGAACCAGCTAGGTCATATTTTTTGACTGATGTGAAAATAATCTTTCTCCATGGGTCATCAAGATATTTTAAGAGTGTTCCTAGTTTATACGCATGCGGGTTTTTATTGAGATCAATGGGGCTAATTGTGTGCTCACAGTCAAAGCTACAGTACAGGCCTTTCCTGTGTTTGAAAGACACTGAATATTAACTACGCAATACCTGAAAGGTTATTTAAGCATTGAATAATATCTAGGTCTAATTTTAATAATCTGTTTAAGTAGTTAGAAACATTGAGTAATTCAAGTAGAATCTAAACATTGAACGTTTTGGCATAAATAATTAAAGTCTCAATCCCAACATTACATAATTCCAAATTCTATTAAGTAAGATTTGAAGTTCACTTTGATGGACTTGTTGAAATCTGCATTTATTAAAAATACATCCAGAAATTTTCAAAAATCTGAAAAGTTCTGTCCATTGTTAAAGTTGCTGTGCATTTAGTAACCATTTTTAATATACGCCTCATTTAAGATTGTGTCTTAAGTTTGTAAATAATTGTCACTGTTATCATGGTAAAGAAAATCTGAGAAATTGTGCAAAGGGAAAAGACTTACTGGACAAATTTCTGACTCCACTGAGTTCAGCTGGAGACATACTATTGATGTAGGTGGAACACAAATTTAGTAAAAGTATATAGAAGTATTTTTTTTTTCACATTATTATAAAACATTGTAAAATGCTTTGGCTTTGTGTTTAAACTAAAAAATGCAAATTTGTATCCACTTTGAAGTACTTATAAAGGAATGAGGGTAGGTAAATCAAAATGAAATGTTTCACCCTAAGCTTTGAAAAGATTCCTTGCAGTCTGGAGCGAACTTAACCTAGATTCTACAACTAATTCTACTGCACCCTTATGAAAATTCTCCAAGAGCGCAAACAAACACAGCCTGGCTTTTTTCTTTTAAATTTGAGAGTTTCCAATATATAACGCTTAAGCGCATTTCATTAATACTCTACTTGATTCACACTTTAAGGAAAGAAAAATCTATACTATTCACGAGGAAGGCTTGAAAAATGCTGACTTGAATTTTTCAAATGCATTTTCCTTCTCCCGTTCCCCTGCTGATAATAAACATCAGGAACAGCGAGTGCTGTCTTCCCTTCGTTTGCTGGAGGACTTTCAGATGTTTCATACATGGACTTGGCACTTTCTAGGTACTCCCAAGAGGGGCTAGGCTGAAACAAAGATCTTTTTGGCCCAGTTGCTTGATGAACACTAAAGTTAAACATATGTTAAAAGAACATACATAAACAGAACCTACAATTTAAAACTCTGCAATTAGAAGTCACTTTGCCTCTCATCAAAGGTGCCTCACAGCTTATTGAAATCTATTCCAAGAATGGGACTACAGAGGGGTGCACTGGGACCAGTGTGGCCTTTCTCCACTGGAACCCCAGTAAGAACATAACTCTCCCCAAAACTCCAGATGATCACAGAACCCCCTCTGCTAACAAAAAGGTATGATAGCACAGTACTAGCATAGCCTCTCAGTAAAAAAAAATGCAAGTCAAGCTTTGACTAATCAATTGTTTCAGTAAGTTACTATCTATGGCTTAAGCAAAATAAAGCAGGAGACAAAACTAAAGAACAATCCCATGTCCTTTCCTTTCTGTCTAATCTACAATCCATGACAGCTGGGCTGATGCAATCATATTACTAAGCACTAGAGAGCAAAGAGCACACCGAGATAGAAAATATCTCTGGGAATGTTGGACTCTGCTCCTTTGAAAAAAATACAGTAAGAGCTCAAAACAGCATACAGACTACTTTGTTTCCCTTTCTTCCCTTCCATTTTGCACTCAGTTAATCACTTGGAATTGGTTGCAATGTGAACAGAATACAGTATTTTCTTTTGCAGCTCTGCAAAAGTTGTTGTAGGACAAAGGATGAACTCAGGGTGTGGACTGGCCACGTTCAAAGATTTACCTTTGCACAGAAAAAGACGACAACAGAACTAAGAGGATGTGATGGGGATTGCTTGATTCAGAAGGCAGTTATGACTATTATTGTTACTGAAAGTGTAGCAACATGCTTACACCGTAACAGTATCAGCCCTTCTTAGTGCAGATATTTGCTTCAGATTGCCTGTATCACCCCTGGCATGTCAGATAAGTCTGATATTATTAATGCCCACCCACATGAGTAAGCAACCTAGGGTAATGGTCAGAAACCAGACAAATGTCATCAGCCCGTTTGTCTGGATCTTGTTTCATGAATGCAGTCTCTCCAGATTGTTGGTCACGTCATTAAATTAGTGGGTTTGTATGCCTCAGAAGGGTTCCTTTAACTATCATCGTCCAAGCCTTCTGCCTTTTGGTGACACAGGTGTATATGCAGTTATAAGCCTTCTAGCCCCATGGACACATGCCATGTCCTCTTCTTTCTCAGCCATTTGGGATTTTTCTTTTCTTTAGTCTTTAGGTGGCTCAAGGGTTCTTCAGCTTAGTGGATAAAGGACTTGAACGTGGGAGAACATTCTGCTGCAAGAGATGAGGAACAACTAGTTTCTTTCCTTCAGATGTGGCAGGTTCTTCTGCATCCTACAGCTTAGTCCTCATTTCAAACAGATTACTCCCTCTAAAAGTTCCTATACTCACCTTGTTGATGAAGCCTTCATGTTCTCAGAAGTAAGATGTCTATTCCACACTGGAGAGTGCTTCCTTGATAAATACTTTTATCTGTGATGTACAGCATACATTCCAAGCAAGACCAAGACCTGGGTATGGATGTTCTCCATAAGGGAAGCAGAGAAAGTGCAGTGTTGATGACAAATGTTTTCCATCCCTCTGATTTTTTTCTGTAACAACTGTGAGAAAAACAAACGAAACCCAGATTCTTTGTAGCCTCTGCTTACAAATTCCCATACTCTTTCCACTGTTGTAGCAGCTCTGCTCCCGCGTCTCTGGAAACTTCGGAGAGCTGACTGTATAGGAAGACTAGTTATTTTTAAATTTCCTCAGAATATTATGATATGCTTTTATTAGTTTACCTTTCTTAATATGACATTACTTAATTATTTTGCATAGTTCTATCAGTCTCATTATTTAGTGAAAAATTCTTAAAGTTGTACAAAATGCTTTTATTTGAAAAAAAAAAAAAGACAAGTAAAAGATGCCTGCTTATCAAGCTGAATGTTGAAACGTACTTTACATTTCCAAATACCATACCCATATTAGCACTGCAATCAGAAACATCATTTCACTTCAAAATCTTTAAACGTTACCATGGGTTTTTACAATAGTTGTCAAAACTAGGACTGGAATCCACAGTTGCTGGGGCCAAACCAGTATGTTTGATCACATGGTATGAACAGGGTAGCACTTTTCTTCATAATAAGGAAAGCTAAGGCCCATTTCAGTATTTCTCCATGGCCCAGTATCCAAGAGAGTAAGAACTTTCCCACCACTATTTCATGGTGAACAAGAAAAAGTGTGTCCCAGACATGGCTTTCAAATTCTGTCAGAGCAACATCTCTCTGCTGAGATCTGTCTTAGTAAGAAGAAGCAACTGAAACAGGCCACATTTTGTCTTCAGCTGCTACACTCTTTGTTTACAGTTCCCAGTTCAATTAGATTTTAAAATCTGGGTGTAGTAAACACAGTTATGTCTGCTAAGAGGTAAGCCAACATATTTTCCAGAGTGAAGAGTCTCAATGAGCACAGTCTTTCTTCTCTCACCAGTTCCTGGAGCTGAGGCCTAAATTCAAGAGAAGGAAAGCAGTTTTATGTTCTGGGGTGCATGCGTGCATCTCAAAGGGCAGATGCTCAGCTCTAGGGCCTTTGTGTTATCAACTGCACTCCTGGGGCTCTGCCAGGAAAAAAATGCAGATACCATGTGTCTTTCAGTGAAGCTGAAGAGGGAATCATCAGAGTTAACAACCACATTAGGCCTCAATGCAATAATCCATACAGCTGTAAAGGGAGCCGGCAGAATTTCCCCTTACAGCTAGAAAACACTGTCTAGAGCTGTTCTTTCCTGATCTTCACTAACTCCTTGTAACAAAAGTAAGCGTCAGTGAGAAGCGGAGAAGCCGCTGTGCCTTACCGGACATCCATACAGGGAACCCTACATTGACGACACCACAGCGGTTCGGTCTCACTGGACAGGTTTACACAGAGACTGATGATGAACGCGTGCTGCACCTGGCATTCCCAAGGGTCCCCTCTCCATCCGGACCGAGCGGGGATCGTCGTCCTGCAAAAACAGCGCAGCGTTTTCGGAAGGAGCCGCACCGCCTGCCCAGGATAACGTTACTGCCTTTCCCCAGCTTTGCACCAGCTGCTGCCGGCGGCGATACTGGAGGGAACCCCTTCCCACCCCCATCCGCCCGGAAAGCCTGCGGGGGCCGGTGCCGCCGGCTGCCCCCCGTCCTTCCCCAGCAGA